CGCCCTTTTCCCAAAGGACAGCCGCAGGGATGGGTCCTTTTCATGCCTCTGTTTTTGGAAAGAGAGGGACGCCTTTATTGTTACTCTCATTCTTTCACCCCTCTCAAAGAGTCAGGAAGGGCCCATGTGGAGGTTCTGACATTTAGCCTCCCTGAAGAAGTGAATAATTCAGAAAGAAGAAAGGTACAAATGTCAGGTGCTGGGAATAAACTTGCCTGAAGAAATGCAAGATTTCAAATAAAGACATTGATATGATAATCCCAGCAGACCTCTGGCCATGATATCATCCTGTTTTGCATAGCAGCACAGATGAGTCTGTGCACATTTAGGATTCTGATTTGAATATAAAATGAACCTGGCCTCTTTTGTGACCATTAATTGAACATAATGTAACATCAACTTGATTAATCTTGATTGATAAGCCAATAAATATGGACTCTCTGTGAGAGAATGTTAAACTGATATCACTGATATATCACTATCAGTCGTGAAGCAGTTTAAGACTTTTGGTTCAAAATGCAAATGAATGCAATTTCCAAGCCAGAAGCTTTTGATCTGTGCACAGGGAAGTGGTTGTTTCTCTCTCTCTCTCTCTCTCTCTCTCTCTCTCTCTCTCTCTCTCTCTCTCTCTCTCTCTCTCTCTCTCTCTCTCTCTCTCTCTCTCTCTCTCTCTCTCTCTCTCTCTCTCTCTCTCTCTCTCTCTCTCTCTCTCTCTCTCTCTCTCTCTCTGTGTGTGTGTGTGTGTGTGTCCTGGTAAACCCTACATTATGGGGACAAACTGTCCCCACAAAGATGCCAATTTCCGAAGTCCTTGTGGGGACATTTTTTGGTCTGCCAGTCAATAGCTGCCACATCTGTCTCATATTACCATAAGGGCAACTTTAACATCCGCCGAGGCCGACAGACAGATGGTAGCAAGCATTTCTTTTACACTCAAACAGAATTAAATGTAACCTCTCTCACCTTCCCGTTCTCCCTCCTGTCTCTCTCTTTATACCTTTGTGACCAGGTGTAACTGGCTCTTTGTGCTGAAAAACATCATGTGATTAATCATTTCAGCTGTATTGCACACATTCTCATCACAGTTGCAATGCTGACAGGAATGTCATGTCATCATCAAGCGCTCAGTTATGATTTGAATGAATCTGGTCCAAAATTTTCCATCAACCTGTTGCCTTTGGATTGCAACATGACTGAGGTGACAACACAACTGAAATGTGAATTTGGTCACACACACACAAAAAAAAATCTTTAATGTTGTCTCAGTTAATGAGTTTGAATATATTGTTTGAAAATCTTACATTTAGTTCACTCAAAAAGAAAGATCATTTCTCATCCTCACATTCTTTCTTCCATAAGACCATAAAAAACACACAATATTTTCCATGCAATTAAAATAAATGGAGAAATAAATAAATAGGAAAAAAAGGATGCTAAATCACCATAAAAGTATCATAAATATGGTCCATGTTGTGTACTGTAATCCAAGTCTTCTGACTTCATAAAAAGACCAAATTTTTCTTGTTTTGGTGCTTTTTGTCCCAGACATAGCAGTGTACAAAAAAAATTGCTCTGCATTGTGTTGTGTTGTTGCTGTGTGTCCTCTGTTTTGTTGTGTAAGAGAGTGGTATTGATCTTTGTGATAGTTCAAGTTTGTCTTGGTGAAGTGATATATGGAGCGGTGGTTCTTTTAGTAAGACCGAGTTCATTTTGTTTCCTCCTGGTCAGACCGACACAGACACATATGCTTACGCACACACACTGTGTTCCCAGACCTCCCAAAGACTGAAAATAAAATGCCTTCTAAATCTAATTCAGCAGAACAAATAAACAGAGGAAGAGGAACATGGCCGAACCCAGCTGCTTATAAAATCAGACAAAAAAACAAAAACCCAGACACCCCTACCGTCTTTCTTTAAAGACTCCAGACTTCCTTATGAACTAAGGTGCTTTTCATTGAAGTTATCACACACTGGTTCCCGTTATTGATCTCTCAGTCCATCTATCTGTTCTTCTCTGCCTCTTGCTCTTTTCTCTTTTTTTCTCTGTCTCTGATTTGGATCTATTAACGGCAGTCAAAATCTCTTATATCACAATGATGGTACACTGGCTTATAAGGCAGTATGTGTTCCAAGATGTGCGTGTGTGTGTGTGTGTGTGTGTGTGTGTGTGTGTGTGTGTGTGTGTGTGTGTGTGTGTGTGTGTGTGTGTGTGTGTGTGTGTGTGTGTGTGTGTGTGTGTGTGTGTGTGTGTGTGTGTGTGTGTGTATAGACTTAAATGTGTGTATATGTGTGTGTGTGTGTGTGTGTGTACATACAGTGTGTACAATTCATATACTTTATTCACAAATATAGCACATTAGCATTATTCTTTTTTATATTGGTCAAAAATATGTTTTCCTTTTACATTTTATTACTGTTATTACAACACACATTGGTCACAGTGTGTGATGTTGTTGAGGTCTCTTCTGAAGCTTTAAAGGAGACAAATGTGAGAGTGTTGGAGTTTTTTGTCTCAAGAGACAGTGTGAGAAGCAGGAGACTCGAGCAGAAGTCTCCATTTGATGTTAAAGTATATTCCTGTCTAGGAGAAATATTTGAGATGTTAAATAGATCTAATTTTTGATTTTTCTTCCTTCTGAGTAGTCTCAATCTCATTCATCCACACAAACACAACATGCATTGCCATTGAAGATACATTTAAACTAGTAACCCTTGACAGCATGCATGAGTTCAAGTCCCAGCTAAAGGTCCTTTCCTGCTCCTGTTCCCTTCTTGCCTTTCCCAATGTCCCCTGCATACTATCCTGTCCATTAAAAGTGAAAAACCCCAAATCTAATCACAAAAAAAGAGAGAGGGAAAGAAAAAGAGAGAAAGAAAGAGAAAGAAAGAAAGAGCAATCTCTAAGCAATAAAACATTTTTATAATGGCGTCTTGAAAGAGATTACAGCATAGAGATCTCCCATGTTTCTCATAGCCCTTTCTCATTTTGGACTCTTTTCTCCCAGAACTTTCTCAGGTCTCATTACTGTTATTTCTCTCAAGGCATTTTAGAAGAAACATCTACGACACTGTTGATATTAAAATGAGAGATATATGAGAATCACAACTGTCTCATGAGCTTAGAAAGAGCAACTTCTGGGCAATAAAATATTCCTATAATGGAGTTTTGAAAGAGATTGCAGCAAGGCAATAAAGAGATCTTCTGTTTCAGATAATTTCTCAGGTCTCTTTTGTCTACTTTTATTTCTCCTAAGGAATTTTAGGAGAAATATCTGAAACACTGTTGATACTAAATAGAGATATATAGAGATATAGAAGAATCACAACTAAGTCTCCTGAGATTAGAAAAAGCAACTGAGCAATACATTTTCCCTCTGGGTTATTTCTATCTTCTCTCGTTGCTCTAAGACACCCAACTATCTCTCTCAGTGAAACCTTATTAAATCTATTAGTGTTAACCTGGCAAAATCTCTCAGTGGCATTTAGTGATTTTGAGGGACAGCAGGAGTCTGAAGTCTTTGTCCTTAAATGATAATGATGTGATTACCCGATTGATAGGTGTAAATTAGCCATCACACAGAGAGCCAGCCCAGTATCTCCACACGACCTCACTGACAGACAGACCGAGTTGTTTTTCACCATCAATTTACACTGCTCAGAATAGTGTGCTTTTATTCAACCATCTGCATGTCTAAATCATTTATTAGCACGTTTCTGAAGGTATCTTTTGCATAGAACTTCTTTAACGCTAACTTTTTATCATTGATTTCTTTCTGTTTTTGTCGTGATTTGTCTCTGAACTGTCTCAATACAATAGAGAACTCCAGCGTTAGGGCTGATATTCAGTTCAGTCGTTTTAGAGGTTTTCCCTGGAATGCATGTTAAGAGTGTTAGAGTCTGTTATTTATGGTGTTATTTTCTTTGATCTTTCTGGGTTTTAGTCCTTCAGGAAGCTGCTTTACTATTCATCTCATGTCCTCTACATATTTCATACACAAAAAGGTCAAGAATGAGGTTCTTTTAACATGAATATACTACATATAAAAGTCGAATAATCTGATAGATAGAAGAACATGTATCTGGAGATTTTGTTTGAACTTTGTTTTTCTTATTGGTAAAAAGAATAAATAATCATAAATGATTTGAATTGAGTTCTTACTACTGAATCATAAATAATCATAAGCTTTTGAAGGCAGATACGTTTGGACAGTCTTATAGCTTCAGTAATGTGGTTTTAGAGCAAATACACTCAAGCTGCATAGTTACAGACTGGTCACATCACTCTCTTTCTCTCTCACACACTCACACACTTTATATGTAATGGTATATTGCCATCTGCTGTTTTAGATGGGTAGTGCACTGTTTTTTCTTAACAGTGGAGGGGTGTGTATAAATAAAATAAATAAAAGATTTAATATAATTTTTAAATATTTATCGTATTTTTTATGATAAAATTATACAAAAAGTATTTATAATTGTATATATTGTTTGTAAAAAAAAAATATATATATATATATATATATATTTATAATACTATTATTTTCTAAGGTGTAGAATTTATTTATTTTTTATGTTTTATATTTATTAATTTGTATTACTTATATCATGTGTATTCTTCTTTATTAAGCATGTGTGTTTAGTAAATCTCCACTTGTGTGTCTCTGTGAAAACTGTCAGGGCATGTGGACAGAATCCAAATGGAGCCGAGTGTTTTGCCCAATGGCATATTTTGGCTTGTTTTTGTGCTGACACTGGCAGCGTTGAACTGCTTGTCTGAGCTGATAAATTGATACGTGATGCTCACACCCTGGTGTTTCTGCGGTGAGCCAGAAAGCCGTTTGAGTTTGTTTGCTTTTGTAGAAACTTATTGTATTCATGCAGTTTCAGTGTGTTCGTGTGCAAGGCTCAGTGAATCTGATGATTGAATATATGCGCTTCTCATCAAAAGAGGACCATATTTTTGTTGTATAAGCTATCTTTGTGTGTATTTTATTGCAGGTGTGTGTGACTGCACAGACTTCACCACCGGCCGTTATTGTGAGCGTTGTGAAGATGGTTACTATGGCAATGCACTGACTGACAGCTCAGGCGACTGCTTACCTTGTCCTTGTCCAGATCGCACCACCTGCGCCCAGGTGACAGAGACGGGGGACGTGGTTTGTACCAACTGTCCGACAGGCCAAAGGGGTCAGTTGCAGTCAGTTTATGTGCTATTTGCATAATTCATCACAAATACTCAGTTCAGCATTAATAAGTAAATACATTCGTTGTTGAAGTACATTATGCACTCACTGTAAATAAATGTACATTTAGTCATTTAGCAGATGCTTCTATCCAAAGCACAAACACAAAGAGCAACAATAAATGGATTTTAATGGATTCCCAGGTGTACGGTGTGAATTGTGTGAAGATGGTTACTATGGAAACCCTCTGGGCTGGGGTGGCACAGTGCAACTGTGTGTGATGTGCGAGTGTAATGGGAACGTGGATCCCAATGCTGTGGGCGTGTGCGATCACATGACTGGACGCTGTCTGAAATGCCTTGGACATACGACTGGGGACCATTGTGAAAAATGCAGATCAGGTTACTACGGCAACGCTTTGGCCAAGGACCTCAATCCAGAGCGAAAGTGCAAACGTGAGTGTCATCTAAAACATGAATGTGGCACACAATGAAGACATTTGATTGTTGATTTCGGGTGTGTATAGTCACTACAGGAAGTATTAATGTGTATCAAGAGCTTTTGCCTACTTTGTCCCATAAGGACAGTGTAATCTGAAATGACCTACAATGTGAAAATCAGCCAATGGCTTAATAAATATACTGCATAGTGCCTTAATGCAAATGTAAAAAAGTAAACTCAAAGGAGTAGGAGACAGAAAGTACCATTAGCTCTGTATAAAAACTATAGAACTCAGTGGTGCTTTGAGACTTCAAAACTGATATTAAATTGTTTTTGAGATGTTCAGCAACATCAAGCATTTTATCCTTCAAAAACTTTGTTGCATGCCTCATTAGAATGAAGACATTAAAAAAACATTTTGTGCATGATCTATACAACATTCATCATTATGTGGGTGAGAATTTTTGTAACTCATAAAACAAATTGGTGGCATAACTTTTTGTGTATCTTGCATCGTAAGGTTGTAAACTTCTGTTTCTCAGCTTGTGCCTGTAACATGGCTGGGACATCAGGTTCCCTGAATGACTGCCATCCGGACACAGGAAATTGTGTTTGCCTGAGTCATGTGACCGGAAGAGACTGTGGACAGTGCGAATCTGGCTACTTCAACCTGCAGCCAGGCTTGGGCTGTGAGATGTAAGTTTTGGGATATGTCTGTCTGGCTGTCTGCCTGTCTGTCTGCATGTCTATCAACCTTTCTGTCTGCATGTCTATCAGCCTGTCTGCATGTATGTCTGTCTGCCTGTTTATCGGCCTATAGACTAAATTGCATAAATTCTGCATTCTCTTTTTCTTTTCTATAGGTGCAACTGCAATCCCATTGGCTCCTCCTCTTCAGCATGTCATCCAGTCACAGGACAGTGCATGTGTCGAACAGGTGTATTGGGGGTGTCATGTGACACTTGTCGAATGGGATTCTTCGGTTTCTCCTCTAGAGGCTGCAGAGGTAAGTGTCACTGAACACACAATTGTCAAGTCAGATTTTCCCTTTTAAAATACTTTATTTCAAATTGAATTATTTATTTTACTTTTGTATATTTTTTAATTGTTAACATGATAAAATATGTAATGATAAACTGTGTAATAATCAATTTATTGTAGTCAACTGTCAATGTTACCTTGCAAACCAATTGTAACAATGATGTCCACTGAAGGCAAGTTTGTAGTGAACCCAAGTGCAGTTTATTTACAAAACGTGATCAAACATAAAACAAAGGCATGACATGAACTCCATGAAAACCATAAACATGGACATGATGCTTACCACAGTGGTTACAGGGAAATAATACTTGAAAAAGTCACAAGGCATACATGAGGGCTTAAATTCACACAAGACTAATGACAAGACAAGGGACACCTGTGTATGGAGGACCAAACCTATAAAAATTAAAAATGATTAAATAAATAAATACGCGAAGCAATGTAAAAAAATAAATAAAAAAAATGACTATTTATACTTTTATTTCCCTATTTATGTATAATTATATATTTTCCCACATTTATTTATTTTTTTATTTATGGATTTATTTATTTCCACTTTTATTTATTTTCACTTTTATTTATGTATATATGCATTTACGTCTACATTTATTTATTTATAAATGTATTTATTCATTTATTTATTTATACATTTATTGCTCTGTATGCTAATGAGGGGGGCGTGTTTTACCTCAGACATCGCAATCGAGCTCAGAGTGGCAGTGCTGAAGCTTTGAGGCCACAGTGACACCTTGTGGTGTGACCAAACACTACGCAAGAGGTTTGTGGACGTGACTTTACAGATGTCACAGGAAATAAATGACTTAGAGATGGGCAATATGGCCAAAATCTTATATCACGGTTTATGTCCATTAACTTTACTTAGCTATTTAGGCCTACCATACATAGGTCTACTATAGTAGTGCCTAATTAACTGAAATTGATCAGTTAAACTTAAGAACTTATAGGCTACATGATGATATAGCCTACTATTTAATAAGGTTTTAAAAAATGCCCCATGAAATCAATTTATAGCGGAAATGTCACCTCTTTATGGAAAGGTTTGTTGCTGTCAACATTGTTTTTGGAAGATACATTAAAAATGCAGTTAGCTTCTGTAAACGGATCTACAATGCATGGCATAAAATGTGGTTAATAGTGGATAATTTGACGCGCTTCCGTGTAAAAGTGTCTGTTATCAGCGGATTCTGTTCATGTGTGCCCAGACATTTTAGAAATCCCGACCAGCTGATGTTTTACGGCCATGTTTGGAATAAAGAGTAGACCTATGTATGGTAGGCCTAAATAGCTAAGTAAAGTTAATGGACATAAACCGTGATATAAGATTTTGGCCATATTGATATCTCTAAGTCATTTATTTCCTGTGACACCTGCAAAGTCACGTCCATAAACCTCTTGCGTAGTGTTTGGTCACACCACAAGGTGTCACTGTGGCCTCAAAGCTTCAGCACTGCCACTCAGAGCTCAGAACTCGATTACTATGTCTGAGGTAAAGCACGCCCCCCTCATTAGCATACAGAGCAATAAATGAATAAATAAATGTATAAATAAATAAATGAATAAATACATTTAGATGTAAATGCATATATACATAAATAAAATTGAAAATAAATAAAAGTGGAAATAAATAAATGCATAAATAAATAAATGTGGGAAAATATATAATAAAAGTAATATATTTTTATAGGTTTGGTCCTCCATACCTGTGAACAATGAAACAATGAACCAATGACAACACATAACACATGACTAGAACAGGGGATAACATGACAGACATGAAACAAAACCAAAACGTATTTTACTGTGAATTCAGCTCAGTAAAATTACAACTATAACACTTTGTTTTGATTAATTCTAGAAGTATTTAAACCAAAAAAAATGTTAAATGATTTTAAAAAATGTATAAAAATGAATGTATATCTAATATTCCATACATTTATCTAATAATATCATAATAACATAATATAAATCTCCTATCTATAGCATGTAATTGTGACCCCATGGGCTCAACCTCAATGCAGTGCCATGACAACGGTACGTGTTCTTGTCGCCATGGGTTTGTCGGTTATAAGTGTGACAAGTGTGAACTGAACTACTACCAGAACCGCCTGACCCACCAATGTGAGGAGTGCCCTGTGTGCTACAGTCTCATCAGAGACCAGGTGGGTGAGAGAGATGATGAAGCATGAGAAATGATCTGTTTATGTAATGGTTGCCTAGCAGATTAAAAGTTCACAATTACTTGTTCTCACCCTCTCATTAAGTTCCTTGGCTCAGATACTGTAGGCTCCCATGACCTACATCTTCCTGGTTGTTCATAATGAGCATGAATGGGTGGCAATGCAAGGATGATTTTAGCTCTGCCCTTTAAATGATTGTGGAAAGCTCAGTGGGGTTTAATAACAAGGTGTGATAATCAAACCTACATACTGCTGTAATTGAGTGGGGGTTTTTTTATTTTTTTTTTATGTATATGACTACTTTTAAACATTGTCTCTAAATTCTCGTTTTGACAAGTTTTGGTAATGTATTATTATTATTTGTTTTACATTGTTATGTGTACAGGCCAGTAAACTGAAAGCCAGACTGCTGGATTTGGAGACGCTGCTCAGTGGTTATGACTGCAATAGATACAGTCGGCAGTATCGTGGGCGCCAGCAGCACAGGCACCAACATAATGGCCTGGACAATCATATACAGAAGGACCAGGTTGAAGACTATCTGCCCAATGCCTTGGAGGACCTCCTTGCTATTCAAGGTGAAAAAAAAAAACCTTTAGACAAAAGTCCTTAAATGGATATTTCACCCAAAAATGAAAAGTCTGTCATCATTTACTCACCCTCAAGTTGTTCCCAACCTGAATAAATGTTTTCTTCTTCTGCTGAACACAAAAGAAGATATTTAGAAGAATATGGGTAACCAAACAGTTGATGAATGATGGGCACCATTACTATGGAAGTCAATGGGGTTCATCAACTGTTTGGTTACCCATATTCTTCAAAATATCTTCTTTTGTGTTCAGCAGAAGAAAGAATTTTTGGGTGAAATATCTTTTTAGCCTCTTTTGTCCTGAGAATTTATCAACATTCAAAATGGCATTAAATGGTAAAATACCGTTATTCTGTTTTTCTGAGGGTTGAACTAATCTAATATTATACTATAACATGCAGTACTGTTTAAAAGGGGTCAGTACGATTTTTAGAAAAGAAATTAAAACCCTTTAAATTGTAACAGCATTTCACAGTTTTAATGTTTTTACTGTATTTCTGATCAAATAGCATAAGAGACTTCTTTGAAAATCTTACGACACCAAACTTTTGAACAGTGTAATGTAAATCTAAAACAAATTTGTCCACTATGGTTTGGACAGTTACAATTTATCATAGTTTATTAAAGACAAATGTGGAACGTATCAACAAAGTGAGATTTTATTGTTGGATGCACATGCAAATTTGTGCCTTGTTTCAGCTTTGTTGCTTCTGCCAGTGACAGTTGTTTTGTTGTGAACTCACTGCTGATGCAACACTGATGTTTCTTCTTCTTTGATGCAGAGGCTCGTGAGGCCTTCATTAAGCAGTTCTCACAGCTGGAAACATCTGCCCAGACCTTACAGCTGCAGCTGCGTAGCATTGCAACAGCGCTAAACTGCAATTTGACACACAGTGGAAGAGAATCAGAGAAAGGAAAGACTATAAAGGGTGAAAATGAGTGTCAAGAGCTTGTTGACACTTTATCCACTGCTCTGAATATGCAGGACCAGCTTCAGAAGATGACTCTTGACCTTAACAGCATGGTGAGTCTGCACGGATCAATTAAATGAGTGTCTAATCCATCTGACCAGAGAACATGTCTTAATGGAGGCTTTTTATGCCTCTGTGATTCTCTTCAAACATCTTATTCTCAGGTCATCCCTTCTGTAATCCCTAAAGAACCAAACAAATGGAATGCCATAGTGAACGAATCTGAGGTGCTAATAACAAGGTTTGCAGAAATATTGACTACAAATCTATCTTAAAGTAGATTCAAGTTTTAAATGTGACTTCTGCAAACATGGTTTATACACTGATGTTATGGAAAAAAAAATTCAACTTAAATTACATTAAAGTGACTTTAAAAAATGTATAACAAAAAAAGTTGCTGTCATAACTTATTGATCATATACATTTTTACAGTGAAATGTTTCCTTTTAAAAGTCACACAGACATGGCAGCTTATATAGAGCAGACAGCAGGAGATGCCTTTAAAATGGCTAACAGAACCTATTCACAGCTGATAATTCTACTAGAAGACAACTCCACAGAGTCTCATGTACAGGATCTCACAGAGAAGTGAGTTACATTATGTTTGTGTCTGTATGCATCAAACTCATTTTGCAGTTCTTTGGGTATTGGCCCTTAATAACTCATTTTAAATGTCACTCTCTATTTTTGTCTGAAAGGCTAGAGGAGATGCAGCAGTTGAAGGAGAATCTGACCCTTGGGGTTAATGAGACTTTAGTGACTCACCTGTCACTTCAGAGGCACAACTCTGAGATAGCCGCCATTTTAGAGAACATCACTGCTTCACTATCAGAACTACGCACAACAGAAGGCGATTTCAGCCTCACAGTGGAGGAGTTCATTATAACATCTTTCTCACAGATGTTTAATCAAACAAATGTCACAGCAACCCAGGATCCAGGACTTACAGAGGTTTGTCCATGTAGTCTCAATGGAGATTGTGGAACTGCTATTGATGCCTTAATACACTGAGGCCGGGTTTCACAGACTGGGCTTAGATTAAGCCAGGATTAGGCTTTAGTTCGATGGCTTTAATAAACATGGCTTAGAAAAAAAAACATTACTGGTGTGCATCTTGAGGCAAAACAGTGGCACTGACATATTTTAAGTTATGTCAGTGCAAATTGCTTTCAGTTAAAACAGCTCAAACATGCGTTTTAGTCTGGGACTAGGCTTAAAGGGTTAGTTTACCCAAAAATGAAAATTCTGTCAGTAATTACTTTCGTTCATCTTCGGAACACAAATTAAGATATTTTTGATGAAATCTGAGAGCTGGCTCACTCCTTCATAGGCTGCTAGGTAATTGCACCTGCCGGCCCAGAGAAGTTAGTAAAAACATCGTTAAAATAGTCCAAGTGACTACAGTGGCTCAACCTTAAGTTTATTTTGTGCCCAAAAAAATTAATAAAAAAAATAACGACTCTATTCAACTATTAATTTTCTGCTGTGTGAGCCTCTGACGTGAGTTCACGAGAGCGCCACGACGCATGCGCAAGAACTGAGAAGATGACGCAGATGGGTCTCGATGTAGTGTTTAAAATGGTTCTAAAATGGATTTCCTGGATGTCCGAATCGTGAGAAACCAACGAGAAAACGTAAAAGTGTCTTACCAATGCCGCAAAGTGAATGGCTTACTTTTCACACTTTCCCATCAATTGATCATGAGCATCATCTTCTCAGTTCTCGTGCATGCGTCGTGACGCTCTATCTTAAAGGCACACTATGCAAGAATTGTACCTTAATATAACAGCTTCAAAGTCATTTCGGTGGTAAACAAACTCATAGTGGGGCGAATCATCCTAGTAATAAAGCTTGGCGGGGTCGCCGCTGGAAAAACCAGCAATGCAAGTTTGAGAGGAGCGCCCCCGACAAATCTCGCGAGAATCACGACTTGCTTTACGGCAACGACGTCACACACATCAACAACCACATATGAAGCACGAAGACACTTGCGCGCATTTCAGACGTGATACTTGACGATGGAAAAAGCAAAGAAAACGCGGTCGGAAGAGACTTGGAAAAGGAAAAGAGAATCTGACCGCGGGAGGAACCGGAAAAGAGTCCCTGATTCGCCCTCGCTATGTGTGTGCGTGTTGTGTTAGTGAGCGCGAGGGCGGGCGCGGCTGATGAGCTGAACAGCGCCAGCTGTTTTGAATGAGGATGTCCGATATATTGTTACCTCGTCCTGTCTTTGTCAGTTGGTTGTTGAGGCTACCAAGGTTCTACTCGCCGTGTTCTCCTGCATTCCACTCCTGTGGTTTCCTGAGATTTTCCCGGAGGAATTTCAACCTGTTCCTGCATCTGTGTCTGCCCACTGCGTCCCTGCGTTGCCGAGCCTGACTCTTCTTCTGTCTGCTTCCATTTTGACCCACACGGATATCTACTATTGTGCTCAATAAATTACTGTTTACTCGCAACTGAATCCTTTGACTATTTCCTTGTGACAGTTCCACTCGGTCGGGCTTTCACTAGTTGGCGCGAGCTAAAAAGCAGCACTGGATTCAACCGCGATGCTGACCTGGCGATCTTGTTGATGGATTAAGTAGCCTAAATCTCTTATTTCTAAACTTGATTGCGTTCTATGTTGTTGCGCTTGCTTGTAGTATGCCATTTTTTTACGATGCTGTTCATTCATCCATTGTTGATAATTAGACCAGTCCAAAAATGTCCACATATGTCTAGATAGCTATTTACGACAGTGTAAGTGTTCCACAGCGACTATAGGGGTCACTGTTTGACTAAAACACAATTTCTGCATAATGTGCCTTTAATTAATATCTTAATTTGTGTTCCGAAGATGAATGAAAGTCTTACGGGGCTGGAACAACATGAGGGTGAGTAATTACTGACAGAATTTTCATTTTTGGGTGAACTAACCTTTTAAGTCTGTGAAACCGGGGGTAATTGTTGGTCAACATGCATGCATTTTTATTAAAGGGATAGTTCACCCAGACTGAAAATTCTGTCATCATTTACTCACCCTCAAGTTGTTCCAAACTACTGAACTATCCCTTTAAATAATTAAAATCTCAAACATCTAGAGTTGGTTTATGGAAAACATAAATTAGTGAACAACAGGACACCACTAGTGCTTTATAATCATTTGAGTCTTCGGAAGCATTCATAAACATTATTTTATGGTCTAATTTTATGGTGTTTTGTAAGGAAAATAAGTGCTCTTTGCATAATCTAAGACACATATTTATGTGGACTGTCTCCTTGTGTCTTTTAATGCTAACAAGCAGTGGTTTTATTCAGAAAGTTCCCTAACGGATGTTTTTAAACAGGTTTCATAAGGAAAAAGTATTGGATTTAAAAAATATATCATAAGATGTCTGTCCATGTTTTGTATCTTTTGTGGTTTTGTATCTTTTGTTGTAAAACACTTTGATTTTGCCATGAAACTAGCTAATGATGCTGATATGACTAAACATTGCAATAATAAAAAAAGGTTTTGAATTCAAATTCATCTGGATTTCAGAGCCAGGACCTGATGAACAGGACAACCGAGTTGGACGCTTCTGTTCAGTCAAAAGAGCATATGATAAATATGACTATAGAGGAAATTCAGCCCCAGGTGGACAGTGCTGAAAAACACCTGAAAACTGTTCAAGAGCTCAAAGAGGTAAAGCTTCACTGCACTATCAAAGAAGAATAAAAAATGTCCTAGTAATTAGAGGTCTAGCAGTTCTTTCATCCTGTGAATTTTAGCACCTCCTGCCAGTCAGTCTGGTGGGAAATGTTAAAGCATGAGAGAAAAAACAACAGGGGTGTGTTCTCAGCTCAAAGCAAATTCAAATGTGACAATTTCCTGCCAAAAGACAGTGTAATGAGATGCATCTTTTGTCTTTTTATCTGAAGCTGACGGCTGTGGCTGAGGGATTTAAGGTGTCAGCCGTCTCCTCTGTGGTGACAGGGAAAGAGGTTGAGGCGGAGTTCCTGTCTCTACAGAAGGTTCTGGAAGGTAACCATTTCTGCTTTATACTTCTTTTATATTTCTATTTTTATGACTCCATTTTTTCTAATTATGACACTAGACAAATTAGATAAATTAAGCATTTATAATGAACAAATTAAAGAAATTTAGAAGTATAAAGACTAATATGGTAGAGTTGAGGACTGAGAAATACACCAGAAAGGTGTACAGTAACACTATAGTTCAAAAGTTTAGGGTCAGTAAGTTTTTTTTTTTTTGAAAGACATTAACTTGAAAGCATGAAATTGACAGGAAAGTGACAGGAAAAGTATTTTAATGTTATAAATAATTTATATTTCGAATAAATGCTGTTCTTTTTAACTTTCTATTCATCAAAGAATCCTAAAAAAAAAAAAAGCTATCATGGTTGGTGCAAAAATATTAAAGCAGCAAACTGTTTTCAACATTGAAAATAATAAGAAATGTTTATTGAGCACCAAATCAGCATTAGAATGATTTCTGAAGGATCATGTGACTGAAGACTGGAGTAATGATGCTGAAAATTCAGCTTTGCCATCACAGGAATAAATTACATTTTAAAATATATTAAAATAGAAAATAGTTATTTTAAATTGTAATAATATTTCACAATATTACTATTTTACTGATCAAAACATTTGATCAAATAAATGCAGCCTTGGTAAAAAAAAAAGGAGACTTGAGACTTCTTTTTTACATAAAAAAAATCTTACCAAACTATATAATGTATAATGGAAGAAAGATCATGTGAAAATGATAAAATGTACTATACATTGTAATAATGTTCTCTGCTGTAGACATGGAACAAGACTGGCCTCGGCTGCCTACACTCAGCAAAGGGTATCTGAAGAGAGAGAAGTTGCTGAAAGAGAAGACCCTGGTGGATGTGAAAAAAAAAGTCAAGCAGACGGAGAAAATGATCAAACCTGCAGTGGAAAACGCTACGGCTGCGAGCAGCACAGCTAAACAAGCAGAGGAGTCTGCAGATGCAGTGGCTAAAGTAGGCTATGCTGAAGCACTTAAAGGGGTCATGATGGTTCTAAAAAGAACATTATTTTGTGTATTTGGTTTATTGCAATGTGTTTACGTGGTTTTAGGTTCAAAAAAGTAATTATTTTACACATACTGTACATTATTGTTGCTCCTCTATGCCCCGCCTTTCTGAAACGCATCGATTTTTACAAAGCTCATCGTTCTGAAAAGTGCGGTGTTCTCTGATTGGCCAGCGATCCAGTGCATTGTGATTGGTCCAAAAACCTTAAGCGTGTGACGGAAATGTCACGCCCCTTACCATATGGAACATCAGCTCCTAAAGCAATAATGACGGGTGATAATGTCGTACTACCTTATCAATTCAAGCCTGAATCTGAACCGGATAATGCAGATGACCAAGCTAAATCGTTCAACTTAGCCAGCGCAACTGGACCAGATCGTATCAGATTGGTAAGGTTGTATTTCATTGGGGGACATAACTACTGATTATAATGACTTATACTGTCTTTTTACGCATCGCGCTACAGGTGTGAGAACACGATGTAAAGATAAAACTATGTCTGCATTTGTGATCGTAGAAACGACAACCAAGCGCTACTCTATACTGCTCAAAACTCGCGTTTGAATAGTCAGTAGCAAGTTCTTAAAATATAAAAACATACTTACAGGCTGTGTCTGTGAGTCAGAAGCGCCAGAATGTACTGCAGAGATGGAATTGCCCCACTTTCTAGAATCAGCCTGTGTGCACAGCCGGCCTTGTACTCTCCCAGGTTCTGGAAACAGTCCTCCGAAAAATGCGCAGCACACAGTCAAAAATGTTAGTTGTACTGTTCTGGAACAGTGTTGTAAATAAAGCCTAAGCAACATTTTCTAATTGTGTCCTCTTTTGGAAGGCCAAACAAAGTAGTTTGGCTTTCGCAACGAAAAACACAGCATCTCCACAACATGGCGGCGCCGGCGGCAACAATACAGGGATAATAAAAGTTACGCCTTCTTTCTTTGTGTATACATTTGGGCGGTGTTATGAAACTCTGCCCCCACACACTGACGTAGATTTGTGGGGACGTGTTTGAACGAAGCGTTTTAGGAAGGCGTGGCTGAGCCTTAACTTTTATAAAGAATCTTTTTAGGTTTGAGACTTTGAGCTTTGTAACTCTGCAGATCTTATACTTGCACTAACAGCTACATAACACACTAAAGAAAAAGGAAAAACAAGAAAGCGCATCATATGGCCCCTTTAAACTCATTTAGTCATGTTTAGCTAAAGTTTCTTAAACTGTCCAAATGACAAGTAATATTAGTTGGTAACATTTTTATGCTATAGTTCATTCTGTTCTTTAATCAAATCAAGTCCCTAAACCCCAATATGTGTATAGACACTGCATTGCCTCGAGGAGCCTAGACTGAAACAGGAACTGATGGGAACTAAAAGACTTGTTATGCTTTTATTCATGACAGGATGCCAAAGCGTCTCTCACACAGGGGAAACGGGCAAAACATGCATCTGGACAGTTGCGTTCAGCTGTGGACATCAGCGTGGAGCAGTTGACTGAGCTGGAAAGCCAAGCTGTGCAAAAACAGGAAACCATGGAGGCAGAGGAGGTAAACAATTTGGCATTAACTTGATAGTGGAATTGCCGATGTTTGACCAGTAGGCTAGAACCTCAATGTCATTATTATTAGAACGCAGACTTCTGCAGGACATCCAGTACCGCCACTCTGTTTAGGGGGCTTGAGACACTACAGAAAAAACTGTATCATAAAATTATTAAACATGATGCTGATCAGCAATGTCCTGATTAGGTGACCGAGGAGGTTGTTTTTGCATTGCCATGATGTTGATGTGCCGTTTCTCCTCAGGACATGCTTTCTTCACGGAGTGTGATAGACAAAATGGAGACAGCCAAGAAACAGCTAGAGTCCTTTACAAACACGCTAACTCTGCTCCTTAAACAACTGGGTAAATTCACAATCCTATTTTATTTAATGTTTTATCCTTGCAACCCTACATAGGACAAGCTGTTTGGAGGATGAACGGATTGATTTATTTTTATTTTATTATTATTATTTTTTATTATATTTTTATTTGTTTTGTTTTTGTTTTGTTCCGTTTGTTTTATACCCGCAACCCTAAATAGGCAAAGCTGTTTGGAGGATGGGTTTTGTTTTGTTCTGCTTTTTGTTTTGTACTGTATGTATTATTTTGTTTAGTTTTTTGCTTTGTTCCGCTTTGTTTTGTTTTATTTTATCCCTGCAATCCTACATAGGTAAAGCTGTTTGGAGGATAAATTTAGTGTGTTTTGTTTTTTTGTTTTGTTCTGCTTTTTGTGTTGTTTTATTTTTTGATTTGTTCTGCTTTGTTTTATTTTATTTTCAATGTGCTTTTTATTTATATATTTTGTTTTTGCTTTGTTTTATTTTATTTTTAGTGTGCTTTTTATTTGAATATTTTGTTTTGCTTTGCTTTGTTTTATATTCATTTTTTGTTTCTTTGTTTTTTTCTCAAAAAGATGAAAAAACATTATTCTTCCAATAAATTAATAATCTCAAAATCATACTCTTCTCCCATTAATGTTGGCAGAAGCTAATGTGGTGCTGGAGAACTATGATCGTATCCTGAATGAGACAGCATCCCGTCTTAATGTTCTCCAGGCTGCTGTGGAGAGTCCGTCTCTCACCGGAAAGATCCAGATGCTTCGCACCGCTGCACACGATCAAGAGAAACAGCTGCAAAATCTTGAACAGAACCTGCAGGACATACGAGAAGAAAGAGACAGTCTGACAGACATCGCCCAGAACTTGCCCAAAACATGCCCACAAAAAGGGCACTGAGCTGGTGGGAGGAAGAAGTCTATCAGTTCTCTAGTCTTTGTTAGTCACCTCAGAAAATCTGAATCAAGGAAAGCTATAGAAAAAAAGGGAACAAACCTCTGAAATCCCCCTCTGTATTCTTTCAGCTGTGTCTGTTATAAAAGCAAACCTGAACATATAAATGACACATTAAAATGTAAATTGATTATAAACATGCATTTATTGTGAAGGCAGAGTGACTTTATTTACTTATTTACTAGTTGTAAGAAGTAACAAATGCAGGCGAATGCATTTATACACTAGCACTTTGAATTGAAATCACCAGTAGTTAAACATAATGTCAACACAGCGTGATCATTATTGTGATTCTATATAGAATAACATTGAAATTAGGCTTGAATATTGATGTTTTGCTGACTTTATTATATATTATGCAACTTTCCCATTCATTTACCTAAAACTAATGGGCATTCCTGTAAATATCTGGTCCTTTTTTGGCCACTTGGGGGTGCCATCTACACAAATTAATCTGGTTGTTTTAATTTACACTGCTTCATAGGAGTTTGAAAACTGAAAATTTGGTTTTAAAGTCAGTAAATCAAGATCAAATAAACATATTGTCATGCTGCTTTCAATAGTGTGATCATACATTGAACATCAGTGTGTTTACTTGTGAGCATGTTGACATGAAACATTACTTATTTAATGTCTAACATGGCATATTAAATATTTATTTTTGTTCTTATTATCCATCTGTTCATAAATTCTCGTTACAAAAGGAATTGGCTATGAATAGCTATAACTTTCCATTATTTGGAATTATCAACATGGATGTCTGTGTGGCTATTGTTTGCTTCTTTTCAGTTTTGATGTATTTTGGCTTATTGCATTATGCTTGCTTCCTGTGAAGACTGAGCTTTTCATCTGTTAAATGACCCATTCACTGAGCTAATACCATTTAACTGTTCTTAACCCCATTAAACCAAAGACTACAGACACTTAGCATATCCTCCATTTTAATACAAAGGAAACACATTATGTCAAAAACAGAAAACCTAACTGATCAGTTCACACTTTAAGTCTATAACACGCATTCATATTGCATCACAAAATTAAACCTGCGTTCATAACAACTGTCTTATGTACAGATACTTATCAGTGATCAGTTACAGAGCTACATGTTTAACGTTGATACACTGACTCCATAAAGATACTATGTTTTAACACAAAATAAGATACTTAAAGCTGTAAAAGGGATAGTTCACCCACAAATGAAAATGTTGTCATTACTTACTGACCCTCAAGTTGTTCCAAACCATTAGTTTCTTTTTCTGTTGAACACAAAAATGTAAAGAATGTTGGGTAACCAGACAGTTGACGACTCCCATTGACTTCCATAGAAGAAGAAACCGTATGGAAGTCAATGGGTGCCGTCAACTGTCTGGTTTCCCAACATTCTTTAAAATATCTTCTTTTGAGGGTTGAAACATGATGAGTGAGTAAATGATGACAGAACTTTCATTTTTGGGTGCACTATCCCTTTAGGAATAGCTGTCGAATCAAATGCTGTAGGTATCTCTATATAGGTAGGCACATTATTGGAAGCAACAGTATTAAAATATCTGTCTCTGATGAAACCCACCATAGTCGAGTAAATGTATTTATCAAATGCACAACGATAAATCATGTAACAGTAATTGCACGAAATGAAATGTTTCTGACTGCAGGTCAGAGCAAAGACAAAATCACAGATATAAACAGAGTTAAAACGTAAACGCTAAGATGGGAAAGATAGCAGAAAAGAAATAAAATACTATAAATATGTATTTTAATCAGAGCGTGAAATTAAAAAAAAAGTGCAATATTTGCAGCAGTGCAAAAACAATATAATACGATATGTGCAAAATTGACTATATATATATAAAAAAAAAAATATTTAGAATTACGGCGCTTCCCTTCGGCCTGCATTACCTGTCTTCACCACACGATGGCGTTTGTGGCTGCATTCCTGGCGCTGGCGGGCAGTGAGCGCATCATAGGGAGACCTGCGCGCCTGCGACTCTAACCAGCGTGAGATTCCTCTCTCTCCTCATAACCGACACGAGTGTTCATCCATCGCCGGTCTCTCCTCCTTCATTACTTCCTCCCGACCGTACCAGCATGCCTTCCAACCAGGATTTACAAGGTATAATAGGTGTCGCTAATCTGTTTTTGGTAAACTGATGCTTTATTTACGCGCGAAGCATGTTTTTGTTCTGTGCGCGTGTGTGTGCGTCGTTAGCGGCCGACTGTCCTTATCTCATGCCTGCAAGTGCACCAGACAACCTGGATAAAACATCCAGACGGGTGTATAACGGTCGCTATGTCTCCTTTTTCAGGCGGGAAAACCTTCGGGTTGCTCAAAGCACAACAGAGGGAGAAGCTGGAAGAAATCAATAAGGTAAATAAGCTAACGTTGATAGGTTATTTTTGTCTCAATCTGGAAGCGAGTTTATTTCATTGGCATTGAACCGCCTCCATTCAAGCTTGTGTTCCCAAACGCTTTGTCTGTAAACATCAGTGAGGTTTTTAATGTGACTTCTCTTCTTCACCGTGGTCACTGTTAAATGTTATTTTGGACAGCAGCGGAATTGTTAAGCTCGGTTTTACAGCAACATGACCTAATTTAGTTAGACAGCTCGACCACATTAAGCCGCAGATCATTTCACAATCCAGAGCAAGGCTGTGTCTCAACCTATTGAGCTGCCTACGAAGTCAGGATTTTCTCCATATTTCTGCTGCATGCACGAGACTGTGAAAATGATCAAAATCGCTGTCTCGGTAAGCACCAAGGCTAACGTTAATTAGGATTTGAGAGAGTCATCCACAACTGGCTTAAAGGGTTAGTTCACCCAAAAATGAAAATGATCCCATTATTAATTCACCCTCAAGCCATTCTAGGTGTATATGACTTTCTTCTTTCAGCCAAACACAATCAGAGTTATAATAAAACATATACTGGCTCTTCCAAGCTTTCTAATGGGAGTAAATGATACCTTGTCTTTTGAAGCCCAAAAAAGTGCACCCATCCATCATAAAAGTAATCCATTTGGCTTCAGTGGGTTAATAAAGGCCTTCTGAAGCGATGCATGTTTTATTAGAAAAATGTCCATATTTATAACTTTATAAACTAGAATCTCTAGCTTCTGTAATCTGGACACAAGACTAGTAGTTCCAGTGGAAGAGTGACCTCTCACCCGACGCATGACGTATTGCCGAACATGGAAACAGAGGATAGAGCAAAACAAAACACCAGCCCCAAATTAGAAGTCTAAAACGAGAATTTTTAAAGAGAAATGTTGAAGGAGCTTGAGTTTGTTGGCCAGCCATATTTGTTTGAAGCGCAAGAGGCATCTACGCTCACCTAAGCTTATGCTACTCCTACATCCTATTCCTATGTCATATGTCGGATATTGACTCTCATGAACGCGAGGATTGACGTTACCGGGAACTGATTACAGTTTAAAAGTTGTAATTATGGGAATTTTTCGTACAAAATCGCACCACTTCGCTTTAGAAGGCCTTTATTAACCCCCTGGAGTCGTATGAATTACTTTTATGATGGTTGGATGCGCTTTTTTGGGGGCTTCAATAAACATATATATATATATATATATATGTATAACTCCGATTCTGTTAGGCTGAAAGAAGAAAGTCATATACACCTAGGATGGCTTGACGGTGAGAAAATTATGGGATAATTTTCCTTTTTGGATGAACTAAACCATTAAATGCTCAAGATTTCCCCTAGTTTGGCTGTCAGCCATTTATGTCAAACAGATAACCCAGTCCAAAACTCACGCCATTGGTTGAGCCAGTGCTGGCCGGGGCCAGGATGTTCAAACAATCGCTACAGTAAGTTTATAGTTTTTTAGGGGAATCAACATACAAATATGTACTCTAAGCATATTAAACTGAAAGTATTTTAAAGTCGCCATGAAATCCTAATTGACAATTCTTTTTTTAATGGAATATTGAATTATCTATTAGAAATGATTTATCCATGAACATCATTATTTTTTTAAAGAAAAAAAAAGAAAATTATTTTTTAATAAAAATAGTGATAGGGCGGGAAGACCTGTCAATCACATCACAACGGAGCAATAGCAAACCCCATTGATCAAGTCCTGCCCTACATTTTCACTTGGAAAATTTTGCCATTTCACTTGGATATATGTATTCTTCCCACAATAGGGAAGAAAAGACTACTGCAACTTCCATTTCATGCCAACTTTAACTTTGTAAAAAAAAAATACATGTACTTACTTATCATTTAAATATTAAGAGGTGAACTGGTCTTGGGCGTTTCAAACAATCCCAGACCTTTACGAAAATCCCAAGAAGCTTATTTTCTTGACCCGTGTTATTTTAAAGCTAATATTTAAAATCACCCCTCTTTGAAGTGATAAGAGGCAGCGTGTCCCCCTGCAGCCGGCTGTCTCTGTGCTCTCAGACGGGAAACAGGTGTCTCTGATCCAGAATGAATAGACCCATTATGTAGGAGAGGGATGGAGGAGTGGGCAGCAGTGGCATTTGAGCTGCAGTCTTAGCGGTCTCTCTCTCTCTCTCTCTCTCTCTCTCTCTCTCTCTCTCTCTCTCTCTCTCTCTCTCTCTCTCTCTCTCTCTCTCTCTCTCTCTCTCTCTCTCTCTCTCTCTCTCTCTCTCTCTCTCTCTCTCTCTCTCTCTCTCTCTCTCTCTCTCTCTCTCTCTCTCTCGTGGACTGCGCGGCTGGTGGGAGTGACAGCTTGTTTGGTCACATGGACATTTAGAAATGATGAGAAAATTAGGTCATGGTCTGGCCTACATCTGGAGCACTTACCTGCACATAGTGTAGAGGGGAATCTCTGGAAACGGGTCAAGAGCATGTTACATTTCACATTAAATGATAAATTATATTTAAAATGCATTTGAAGCCAATTTAGCTCCATTAATGTGTAACTCAACTCCTGGTCAGAGCCTAACTCCACCCACTGGCAATATTTGAAAAATAATTTGAAAAAGTGGTATACTTCTTAGTGCGGATTAGAACCCAGAACCTCTGACACGCTTGGCAAAAGTTCTACCACTGGACAATTATAGTACGCATAGAATAGTCGGATTGATGTATTTATTCACGTGGAAATCCTTCATACAAAATTGTACATACATCTGATTTATGATTTAGCATTGTATTAGCATCTCTTATCAATTCGAGCTGCTGGCTCAAACTGCGGTCTTAACTCCCGAAGCCGACGATGTTAGCGAAGGGCGTGGTGAGCTTGTGCCAGGGGCGTGGGTAGTGAGCCGTTGGCAGAGCCATTATACGTCAATGTCACGCGGGGAAACAACTTCCAATAAGAAAACTGCAGTAGCCACCGTTCAACTCAAAGAGGGCAGCACTCAGACGTTTTTACACCATATATTGTAGAATTGAAACACTTTATACCCAAATGTCAAAACATTTACTCGAATCAATGAACAGCACTAATAAAGCCCCAGTCTTACAGATCATTAACTAAAAAAAGTTGTTTTAGGGTTTAGTTACCCTTTAATTATTTTTTTTAAAATTGTGACATTGTTTTCATGACATTTCAGCATGAAATGGAAATTCACAATCTATTTTCTAAATGCGTTTTTTGATCTTACCGTCCGTAACTGTTAATGATTCATCCATACATGTTTCTTTTTATGTTTTGTTTTTTTGTGGCAGTAAGTCTTTATCAAAATGTCATTACTCGATCTTCTGGTGAAACAACAGTCTTCTCTGTGATGTATGCTAGACTTTTCCAATCATTTGGTCTGCATTAACCCCTCCCTTTTCTTACAATCACCCTCCAGCTCACTTTCAGATCTGCCTCCGTCTTTTTGACAATCTTTTCTCCTCTATTATGTCAATACTTTCACTACTTCTGTTACATTGTGACTTTAAACACATTTCCCATTCAATTATCCTAAATATTATTCTTAATACCGTAATGGGTTATTCTCATTATTTTAGTACAGTAATGAAAATCATCCTGTCAGGACTATCTTTTTTTTAAATTAAATTAATAAATTATGGTACAGTATATTATGTGCTTAATATTAAATAAAATGTTTGCTTTTATTTATACAACAATGAAAATTATCTCTTTGCTTATGGTAATAATAAATTGAGGGATATGTGCTTAATTGTTATGAAAATAATAACGCTAAAATAAGATTCAATTTCTTTCTGTGAAAAAATATAGGCTAATTTCTGTTGATATGTTCTTGACAGAAAGAATACTTATATTTATGTCTGGTATAACCACAAAACATTGGAAAATGAATCTGATGTGTAATTTTTGCATGTTTTGTTTGCCTCAGTCAGAGGTGTTTAGGGCTGTCACGATAACCGCAATATTTTAATATCGTCTGCGATACTGACTAGACAACCACAGAGTACGGCAAGCAACCGCGATGTTCACGTTTTTTCTTTCTTTCATGAGGCTATGCCCTTGTTTTACACTTCATGCATGTGTATTAAATGTTAATAAGTTAATAATGATAAGAGTGAAGGTTTTTTTTTTTTTCTCCTGACAATTTTTTACTTAAGAGTTTGTTTATGTTTACCATTGTGATTTATACAGAGTCTCCATAGATTTGCACTAAACAAGCCTAAACAGACAGAGAGATAGATGGCGTGCAATTACCTGTCTGTCCTTCTTCAGGACAAGCTCCCATGAATGGCGATTATGGCATCAGCACTGGTCAATGCTTGAATCTATGAAGTGAAGCATCAGCTTCAGTGCAACGCATTGCTTGCCGATTGAGTCTTGTAAAGTGGTGCTCAAATATAATTTCAACACCTAGTTTCATTTATGAATGAATGGTTTTAATAACCCATTCAAAGTCAGTCCCTTGCAGTCACCTAGTGGCGTAACCTGCACTGACTGACAGCCTGTCTAGAGCGCACTGAGACTAGCAGTGCTGCTGATACAGGTAAAATATCACCAATCTTAGGAAGCCTCACATCCAGTCAGATTCAAGGATCGTAGCTAATTGTTATACCAATATTCCAACGAGTCTATTGTCAGGTTTATGTTCTGTTACACCATGTCCTAACCAGACGTGTGATAAAAGCTATCTTTTCCATGTGAATCAAATCAACGCAATGATTCTATTTTAGAAATGGTTTCTATTTTTCTGCGACATCGCAGCTGGAACAACAACACAAAGTATGATAATGATAATCTCAGGTACTGTTTATGTGCTTTTATTTAATGTTAAAAGCATTTAATGTGAGTTTGAATATCATTTTTATCATCTTTTTATAGCCGTACTGAAAGCAACAATTGACCATTCACCTCAGATCTTCAAAATAAATAAAAGAAAACCAGAAAGTTCAAACTGTCAACTCAGTGTATTTTATGACAAATATTGTATCAGTAACTCAGTATG